CCTCTCTCTCCTCCTCTTCTTCCTCTCCCTCCTCTTCCTCTCTCTCCTCCTCTCCCCCCTCCTCCTCTTCTTCCTCCTCCCTCCTCTTCTTCTCCTTCCTCTCCCCCCTCCTCTTCCTCTCTCTCCTCCTCCTCTTCTTCCTCTTCCTCTCTCCCTCCTCTTCCTCTCTCCCCCCTCCTCCTCTCCCTCCTCCTCTTCCTCTCCCCCCTCCTCTTCCTCTCTCTCCTCCTCCTCTTCTTCCTCTTCCTCTCTCCCTCCTCTTCCTCTCTCCCCCCTCCTCCTCTCCCTCCTCCTCTTCCTCTCCCCCCTCCTCTTCCTCTCTCTCCTCCTCCTCTTCTTCCTCTTCCTCTCTCCCTCCTCTTCCTCTCTCCCCCCTCCTCCTCTCCCTCCTCCTCTTCCTCTCCCCCCTCCTCTTCCTCTCTCTCCTCCTCCTCTTCTTCCTCTTCCTCTCTCCCTCCTCTTCCTCTCTCCCCCCTCCTCCTCTCCCTCCTCCTCTTCCTCTCCCCCCTCCTCTTCCTCTCTCTCCTCCTCCTCTTCTTCCTCTTCCTCTCTCCCTCCTCTTCCTCTCTCCCCCCTCCTCCTCTCCCTCCTCCTCTTCCTCTCCCCCCTCCTCTTCCTCTCTCTCCTCCTCCTCTTCTTCCTCTTCCTCTCTCCCTCCTCTTCCTCTCTCCCCCCTCCTCCTCTCCCTCCTCCTCTTCCTCTCCCCCCTCCTCTTCCTCTCTCTCCTCCTCCTCTTCTTCCTCTTCCTCTCTCCCTCCTCTTCCTCTCTCCCCCCTCCTCCTCTCCCTCCTCCTCTTCCTCTCCCCCCTCCTCTTCCTCTCTCTCCTCCTCCTCTTCTTCCTCTTCCTCTCTCCCTCCTCTTCCTCTCTCCCCCCTCCTCCTCTCCCTCCTCCTCTTCCTCTCCCCCCTCCTCTTCCTCTCTCTCCTCCTCCTCTTCTTCCTCTTCCTCATCTTCCTCTCTCCCTCCTCCTCCTCTTCTTCCTCCTCCCTCCCTCCTGTGTTTATAGTTCAGCAAAATGGGTGTGCTTTTTGAAAAATGGCGTTATGGTTTTGAAATTTTAGTTCAAAAGCCTGGTTATAGTGTTTTAGCAATCGAGAAAAACTGTAATATCATTACACTTTATTTGCTCTGTTTTATTTTGTGAAACCTTACTACGTGTATGGCATAACCGTTTTATAATAGCAATAAGCCCCGTGAAGCCGTGGTTTACAGTGAATTTATAACAGCTTTCCGTCGTGCCTAATAACGCCCCTTAGCTGTTATAAATTCACTGTAAACCACGGCTTCACGGGGCTTACTGCTTTTATAACCATGTTTGTTTCTATAATAATACTCAAAAGGCACTTTTGGAATTAAACATGCGGTGTAATGAGTAATCACAAATAATGCATAAAGCATTCAGTGCACACAGCTCATGCAGCACACTGGTATTCTAGTATTAATATTGTGTTTATGTGAGCAGAAATAATAAACCGGCAAAAGCTAATTGAGTTTAAACGAACTGCAATAACATGCTTTACACGCTCACTGACCGCTGATGATCAAACTGCAGAACTGAAGCGTCATTACATTCAATAAACTCACTCCTCTGCAACCTGCCAATCACACGCCGGCTCCAGGTCCTCATTTGCATACATACCAAAGGGAGCCAATGGCGCTCAGGGTGGGCGGGGCTTTTAAATTGACAATTAGAGTGAAATCATGTACAGTTTCATGAATGTCAGTCAGTCCACTGCCATTATCACACTACAGTACAGTACACCCGAATGGAGAAACCGCCTACTGATGCCAATCCCACCCAGAGCGATTATTTTCTTATGATCATATTTATTAACCTCATGACAACTGTGCAACGTAGGGCTGCACGATTATGACAAAAATTATACTTATCAATTATTTTATTCAAACCTGAATTACTTCTGTACAATTTCGGAATATTCAAGCGGCTGTTTTTCATTTCAAAACTCAAAATGTTAATCAAACATTTTTTACATCTACTCCTAACTGTTTCTGTGAAGCTGCTTTGCAACAATGCGTATCGTAAAAAGCACTATACAAATAATTGTGAATTGAACTGAATTGAATCATCATTATGATTACTTTATTGAATTTATATATAAAAAGTATTTTAAAATGTGTATAAATTAGTGCTGTCAAGTCGATTAGTCGCGATTAGTGTGTGTGTAAAGTTTTTGTTTACATAACATGTGTACTGTGTATATTTATTATGTATATACTCACATGCATGTGTATATTTAAGAAAAATATGTTAGTTTTATATATTAAATATATTTATGTATAATATAAATTATATGAAATATAAATATATTGTATGAATACATTACAGCTTAACACATATTCACTTAGAAAATATTTCTAAATTTTACTGTTTTTGCTGTACTTTGGATCAAATAAATGCAGACTTGGTGAGCAGAAGAGAATTCTTAAAAAAAAAAAAAACTTAAAAAATCTTACTGTTCAAAAACCTTTGACTGTAATGTAGGGCGGCTGATTATTGTTATAGATTGAAACAAATGTGCTTCAGCCAGGATAAAGAATATGAAAAGTGCTCTGAGTTTCTGCAGAAAAAAAGAGCAACAACAAAAACATGTTGCTGGAGTCGGGCTTATTGAAAATTGAAAAACTGATTGTTTATATATATATGCGCACACACACACACACACACACACTGTTATCAAATACAAATGACTGTCTGTATGCATGTGAAATGTTTATTCTCAGCTCATGCATATTTGATTTCAATAACACGTGTGATGCGTTTCACCCTGCGGCGTGTCATTTGGCTCCTCATCAAGGTCAGCGTCAGGCTGTTCAACCAACATGCTCTGATACCTCATCCATAATTGTTGCACATGCATGCACAAATACCACATCAATCTCAGTTTTGTCCATTTAAAATTTATTTAAAGGAACAATTCTCCCAAAAATGTAAATTTTGTCATCATCTCGTTCTTCCGTGCACCACAAACAGAAAACCTTTAATTGCTAATTTAAATAGATAATTGTTTTATGTAAAAGACTAGCATGAGGATTTCAACAAATTAACATTTGAAAAGTCTAAAATACCAGCATACAGAAGAACATTAGATGTTAGACGATAATTAATGAATTCTTACGATATTAATTACCGATAATTCATTCCTGAATTCATTCCTGAGTCAATGATTCATTCAAAAAGACAGTAATTTGCTTCCTTTGTAAATGAATCAGCTGTTTTGAACGAATCATTTGAGTGAATGATTCAATGAATCACTCATTAAGACAGGGACTTGCCGCCACCTGCTTTTTGTCTCTTATTTATTTATCCATGACAGGCTTAAACCAACCAAGGTACAGCACAAATACACTCTCGGCTAAATACAGTTTCATTATTATTATCGTAAAAGTATCGAAATTTCATTTTTTGTCAATACCACACACCCCTGTGCGCGTCATATCACTGCAAAGGTATTTCCAACTTATTTTTTTTCAGTTTACTTCTAAGTGAAAAATGAAAGAGAACTTTGCTGTGAGTATCACGTTCACGTTCAGTCTCTTGTACGATATGTGTGTGCATGAGCACAAGCAAAAAAGTTGCTGGTTGCAGTTCACTTAACGGCCACCGGTGTCACTAATAACAAAGGTTTCTGAATTTCACATATAGACCCTTTAAAGTGGCAGGTGACAAAACTGCAGTGCGCTTATCATAAACAGAACATATCAAACAGAACGTGTGGATGCTAATATAGTTATCTTTATTGTGAATACAATATTAATTTACAGAACACTCTCTAACACTTGATGGCTGCTCTGTAAATTCCTCGTCATCAGTTAGGAGCCTAGGTGTGCTATTTGATAGCAATCTCTCCTTAGAAAACTATGTTTCTAGCATTTGTTAAACTGCATTTTTCCATCTAAAAAATATATCTAAATTACGACCTCTGGTCAGAGGAGAACTGGTCCCTGACTGAGCCTGGTTTCTCCCAAGGTTTTTTCTCCATTCTGTCACCGATGCAGTTTTGGTTCCGTCACGGCCCGGTGAAACATACCAATTTGAAAAACATGCGGAATGCATAGTCGATATAAAAAACTGTATGATGAGTAATGTCCTACTACTAAATTCTGAAAAAACAGAGGTGTTAAATATCAGACCTAAAACCTCCGCATGTAATAACCTAGAACACTCTCTAACACTTGATGGCTGCTCTGTAAATTCCTCGTCATCAGTTAGGAGCCTAGGTGTGCTATTTGATAGCAATCTCTCCTTAGAAAACTATGTTTCTAGCATTTGTTAAACTGCATTTTTCCATCTAAAAAATATATCTAAATTACGACCTCTGGTCAGAGGAGAACTGGTCCCTGACTGAGCCTGGTTTCTCCCAAGGTTTTTTGTCCATTCTGTCACCGATGGAGACTTTGTTTGGTCTTCCAAAAGAGGACGATATCCACTTCGTCATGCCTAGAGCTGATCCGTGCTGGTCTCTGAGGAAATACATCAACTTAGTGCCGTGGATCACCGGATCTGCTTTCACCGTGGACGAAGTGTCACATGTGGTTGCCACAAGCCTCCGCTCACTCAAGCCCGCCGTGTGTGACGCTGTGTTTCGTTGTGAAAGCGAAACTACTTTGTTTGGTCTTCCAAAAGAGGACACGACGTTTGCAGAGCATTTTATGGAGGACTGTCTCCTGATCCTGGGAGAGTAGACTACAATGCCGGCTGTTCTGACTCACAGACTGTAAGTATGTTTTTTATATTTAAAGAGTTTGCCACTGACGATTCAAACGTGAGTTTTGAGCAGTGTAGAGTAGCACTTGTTGTTTGTCATTTCTCCGATCACAAATGCAGACATGGTTTTATGTTTACGCAGCACGATGCAA